TGGACTTTGGCATCACAACCCAAGCAATATGTATTCCAATTTCTCGTTTGCACATGCACTATGTTGTTTACCCGATCTGTAGGTTCATGATTTGTTCTTGTGTAGGCGAAAATCAAGCTCCGATAGGAGATATTAACAAGTCGAGCCGAAACTCGAAACTCGGGCTCGAATCAAATAAAAATGATTTGGACATTTTTGGTCCGAGCCGAGCAAAAATCTAGGCTCTACATGAGCCGGCCCAAGCGATTCGCTTCCTTTTTTTTAATATAGCTGCATCTTAAGGCAGCTATTGTTGCCTGCAACAAGGCAGCTGCCTTGTAGGCAATTTCTTTTCCATTTTTTTTTTGAGTTCTGCAGATTTTATTTATTTATTTATTTACGGGCTGGCTCAGGCTCGAGCTGAGGCTTGGGCGGGCTTGGACTTTTCCCGGGCCGAATCACCAGTAGTCAAATTGACGCCCCTAGCTAAGACGGAGTTAAGATGAATATGTAATTGCATTGCTGCAGTTTGTTGGATATTGGTTAAATAAATCGAGAATTGAAAATCGATTAAAGTGACTTCGTATCGACTTCGACCAAATACTCAAAAGCTCGACTCAATCCGTTTAAGCAAAATTGTTTGCCACTTCGCCGCTTCGGGGCGCACAAACGGGGATCGAAAACCAATATCGGATGAATGAGAAATTACGAAAAAGGACGAAAATCAGTGAATAGACACCTTTTCATAAAGGTGGTGCATTGTTTGGAAAGGGTGCATGGTTTGGCCCCAACCATTTCGTCCACACCCTTTCATGGTTTATAAATAGGACCCTTTGGGTGTCCTATTCCTCACAGTTTTGATATGCAAAACGTCTCTCATCCTCTCTTCTATCCAAAATCAAAATCATTCATTTATTTTGATTTTCTTTCATTTCATCATTGGAGTACATAAGCCTAAATTTGGTTCGTTGTACTTGTGTTTTGGAGTGCTACAAACACAAGTGTAGCCGTTGTATCTTGGGAGTCGATTGCCGAAATCCGTAGGCACCGTTGCGGGGCAAATTCGACTTAAAGACAAAGAGTCCAACTCTTGCCTCGACTTTGTCCCTATCTTTATATTTATTTTTGGCGTCTCTATTCACAAAATTCTTCCAACCCAGTTTCTATTTGAAAACCAACTGAAAGTGACATCACTTTCAAGACTCCTTGAAATTAAAGAGTTGAATCATTGTATCGGTTCATTCTGGAATGTTCAAAAAATGTAAATATTTTATATCTTCTACAGGGACTTTATTGTTTTTTAACCTTTTGACATGATTCCACGTTATGAATTTAATCCCCAGGAATCCTTATCCTGCCCTGGGGAAGGATTTTCTCTTTTTCCGTTCATGATTCGATATTCTGGTGTCCTAAAAAACAAGTAAGCGTAATTCTCCCTAAACAATAAAATATATTCACATGGCGTTAATCCTTTTTTTTTAATATAGTATAGATAGAACTTTTCCGAGAAGGTTTTATTGAAAACGTTATCTTTTGAATACAGGGTTCCAATTTTCNTTTTTTTAATATAGTATAGATAGAACTTTTCCGAGAAGGTTTTATTGAAAACGTTATCTTTTGAATACAGGGTTCCAATTTTCAGAATTTCTCAGGCAAAATTTCGTCGACTGTTTTGTTGAAATGATCATATGCATCGCAATGGGCTTTCAGGGAGAGGTAGCCACTCTTCATCGTCTTTGGAATTGAAATCAAATGTCAAAAGAATAGCGCAGTAAACAATCACAAGTATATAATCATATTATTCAGAAATAAAAAATGAAGTAAAATTCTACTGACACAGACTCTCCATTATTGGAATGAAATAACAAAGAATTGATTATCTAAATTGAAAGAATCCCAGAACCCGACTCAAATCGAAGTTTTTTTTCACATATCTATTATAAGTAACAGTGGCAGGAAATAAGATTGTTAAATCTCTAAAAGTTGAAATTAATCAACTTATAACAGAGATAATCTTGTTCCAACAGGGAAGTAAGACACTGGAATTGCTGCACTTTTCGCCTTCTTCTTTGTTTTCTGCTCTTGCACTTTGGATAGGGTACTACTAACTTCTTGTTCGCATGCTGCAACCCGCTTTGAATCCAAAAAGCAAACAAAAACATTCGAAAAGAAGGCCATGATTATTTCCCAGATGAGTTAAGAGGTTCAAGAAATATGAAGATTGTTAACCAGGAATATCAATTAGTGCTTGTCTTTCAAGTTTGTGTAGATTTCTTGGATTCTTTCCCCATTTATAGACACAAAACAAGCACGTTTTCTTGATTCCCATGTCCTGCAAATTAATGGGAAATTGGTCGAGAAGCTTCTTCTTGCAATTCCTGGAAGCTTTGCGATTGGCTGATTCTGGACCGATTATGTCACTTACAGGAACCACGAGTAATTACTGTAGCCTAAATAGCGACAAGTGAAGGGGTTTCGAAATTACAATATTTGTGCTGTAAGACTATTCAAGAATGGCTTCAAGTAACACGTTATGCCAATGACCATAAGAAATATGGGGACAATATTCGTCATACATATGCTACTTCCTTTTGGATTCACTATAGGGACAAAGTAGGGATACAAAAATATCCACGGGTTCGCGGCAGGGATTACACGTTTAATTGGGCAATCGGGTCCGAAAATTCTGCCCTGAGGCGGCTACGAGCAAGGATGGCCCACGCCCACACTATATATATATATATTTTTTTTTAATTCAATACTTTAAATTGAAAAACTCTACAAAATTTCATTAATTCTAATAGAAGATGGCAACTAAGATTATCTAAATAATATAATAAACAATAAAAATCCTAGTCTATTCAATATATTCGAACAATTTAATTTTTAAAAATAAATAAATTAATTAAAAAATTTAATAACCATATTAGTATCTCCCTTGAATGAATGGAGACAATAAAACGAATTATCAAAAACTTAAAAAAATTAAAATTAAAATTAAAATTAAATGGTTACATAAATCGGGCAATCTCCCCTCCCTCCCCTCTCCATCCCGCCTTAAACGGGTAACATGACGGGTACGAGGGGGAAAAATGCCCGATGGGGTAGGGGTGGGGGAGCTCATCCCGTAAAGCTACAAAATACACTAAAGGTCATCCAACTTTGAATAGAGTTCTATTTTGGTCATCTAACTTTTTTCTTTTTTCTTTTTTTCGCTCCAAACTCTGTTCAATTTTATTTCTGTTCATTCACTAATGATGATCAGCTAGTTAAAAATTGCATCTTTTAGTACGTAAAATTGCATTTGTACACGTTAAAAATTGTCTTCAATGGCACAACTTTCATTTTAAAAGCACGAGTTTACATTGCTATTCCTTATACATAAAAAATTAGTATAGTTAGGAGTTCCTATAAGAAATGTTTGCCGCGTGGAAGACTTTACTGTATAACATGAAATAAAATTAAAACTTCATTAATGTGTTGGGAAATAAATAACACTATTCTAAATTGTATATATGAATATTAATCAACTTAATTGTCCATGCCATTTCAAGTTAATTATATATGTAGTATTATTATAATTTTTAATTGTATATAATAATGGTTTTTTATTAATTTTATATTAATGATTAATGATGTTTGTGTTTCGTGGAAATTAATTGATTTAATTTTCCGAAAGCAATAATATTTAGGTTAAATATATTTGTGCCATAGTTTTTATTAGGTACACCGTAGTTTAATTATGCTCAATGTCCTCAATTTGTTCTCATTAGAATCCAAATCCTTGTATAAATTAAATATTTTGACAGAAATCATTATCAAGGACAAGAAGTAATAACTAATGGAAGGTTGAATATAATAAATTGACGAAAATAAGATATGGATATAAGAATTATGATGAGAAAAGATTGATGACTTTAAGTGCAATAAAACGTTGAAATTTGTGATGTGAAATAATTAGCATTTTATGTATTGTAGATATACTATAAATTTTGTCTAAATATTTCTAAATAACCCACCTGGACTGGTCTTTCGCTGCTGTGATGGGCCACAGATTTGCTTTTTAGCTTAGAACTGGCCCATTTATGTAACAGGCCCAATAGCAGTAACAGGTAGCCGTGGCTTCCATCAAGTGTGTATAAAACGGCTTCATACCGCCAAAACTGTAGGAACAAATTTACAAATACATTTTTCTCTTTGAAGTGGAAAGGAATATTTCTTTGATAGTTTTCTACTTCTCCTGGATTTTTCTGAAACTTCTTTTGATTCATATTTGTTAAACACAAGAATTCATACACAAAATTTCAGGCCCGTTGGTAAATTTTCACTCAGGTACATCTCTAATCTTTTCTTGAAACTTCTAGGCGTTTTTGTGTAATATTCCTTGATGATTTTCAGAATTTGTACTTTCATTTTTGAATTATGTTGATTCAATCTATATTTGCAGTTCTGAATCTTTGATAAACTCCTGTTTATGGGCTTTCTCAATTTTCTCATATTCTTGAAGTTGTAGTGTTTCATTCATTGATGATAATCTGTTTTGATTCTCTGTGGCTGTTGATTTTCCTTATTGATTCACTGCATGTTTGAGGGTCCATCTTGGATAAATTCATTGGGTTCGACATCTCAGTTTTCTTGAAATTTTGGCAACATTTCCTAGCGTTCGAAAATTTCTTTGCATACTCAAATGTTTAATCTTTCGTGAGAATTGTCATTTTCTGGTTCTTTATCCCCTTTCTTGGATTTCGTTATTTAACATTGATTGCGTAATAAATATTTAGAAAACCCATGCATAAAATTGGATCGTATGATGAAAATGTGTATTCCTTTCGAGGGGCGAAATGGTTTGCGCTTTAAACGGTTCTTGTACTTCTTTTTTGCTGTCTCAATAGTTTCATAAATGGAATTACTGATACAAATCTGAAATAAATAGAGAATGCATTACATAATAAGTATGAACGATATTTTCATGGTGTATACTCAGATTTCACATTTGACGAATTTGTGACTTGACCGAAGCAATCAAAGAGATAATTTGGGTTCGACCCCAAATCCTAAAGACGACTTTCGTATGCATCCACCGTAACTGGCAAATTCCTTCTAAAATGTCGAGGTATTTCTAAGATATATTGCTGGTGAATTGGCCTTAGCAGTTAAAGTGAGATTTGAACTTGAATGTTTCATTATCATAGTTATCATGTTGTAATGAATTTAAATGGTGATTTGGTAATATGATCAACTGTTCCACGTCAAGGCATGACAGTTAGAATGCATGTAAACTTCTCTAGAGAGACGGGAATTTCAAGTATAGACCTAATTGGCCCCCTTAAACTGATTCGTTATGATAATGAAAATGCTTTTCCTCATTAAAGGGAAAACAGTTCTCAACAGAGAGAGAGTGATGCAATAGCCATTGAAACCACAGACTCGTCTACTGGGAACAGAAAACCACTGAGGAAGAGTGATGCCATAGTCATTGAAACCTCTAGCTCGTCTTCTGGGAACAGAAATGTTTTTAAACCACTGAGACCTAAGTTTTGGAGAACAAGAATATGTGGTTACTGGGAGAGAGGTCAATGCCCCAATGGAGCCAAATGCTGGTATGCTCATGGCCAGTCAGGTATATTTTAAATGCACACGGCAAACTCATTATTTCTATATGTTTTCTTAATTTAATGCATTATTTGTTTGTTGTCTTACACAAATTCTGAAACAAACCATTATCATAATGCATCGTGCATAAAAAGATTGAACAGTATTTTTCAAGTAATAAGCTATGTTTCCTCAAGCTGGGATCATCCTTCCATTTTATTAGTTTCTCAACTCCCAGGCTTCACTTTTGACAGAATTGCAGCCGCACAATGCTAGTTCTGCGGCAGATACCAGGCTGAATTCCCCTCCTGTTGCTGATTCCTTCAGAAGTAATGCTGTTGCTACTCGTCCAATTCCAGCACAGCGTCGCTTTGTTCCTGTAATCCGTTCATCCAAAACTAGTGCTACTACGGTGACTGGTGTTCGTTCAAGGAACTTTTTTCCTGTGTCAGCTGGAGTTCGGCCAAGGGAAAGTAGATATTTTCCTGAAGGTAAGAAAATCGTAGGAATTTATGCTGATTGGCTGGAAGATGAGGACGATGATGGTTGCAGCTAAAAAGAGGGACGGGCATTGGCATTACTAATATACACAAAGCGGTATATCTAGAAGTTTATGATCTTGAAGTGTCACCCCGAAGGAATGGAAAATTATGACCTCACGATAGTTGATGGCTTTTACTCTAAATCACAAAGGGAAGTTCACTGAAAAGAAACTAATGCTGATGGTACTATCGGCCTATAGATGATTTTCCATTTTTCTTTTTTTCTTTTTTTCTTTTTTTTTTTTTGTGTGGACGAGGAGTAATCAAGTACAATTCTAGTTTGTGATCTATTTTTTCAAGAACAAAAATGTACATTGTGCTTGCCTGTAGTATAGCATTTTCGTAGTGATTTGATTCCTAATTCCTAAAATAGTTTTCTCTATCACTTGCAGTGCTGCTAATATGTTTTTACTCGTGTTAAACGCGTAAGCAGTAACTTTACAGGAAAAGTAAAAGGACCGATTTGCACTAAACATGAAATAATGGGGACACAACTGTCAAGAAAAATCGAACCCAAGCGCTCCAAGTGATATAGTTTGGCAACCCCATATGCAAATTTCCCTTCCATATAATACTACCCAACGAACAAAAAACAGTAATTTCAGCAGTTTGGCACACCAGTTCTAGCGGTCATGTTTATTCCGGGAATTATTTAGCGTGTCTAATCTCATTCTAAAATTGTCGTGATTTGTGAAAAATATGTAAACTACAGTATTTTAACAATTAACTGTAGATAAAATTTACTCTTCATATTTTTTTAGTTTTATTTTTTCAATTTTGAAAGTTAACTTGTTACTTGTCCCTACATCTCCAACGTGAATTTCTTGGGACAGTCGACTATTAAGTTAAAATTTGCAATTATTTTGTCCTAATCGAGCTATTATATTCTAGAAAAAAAACATGCAAAAATGGGATTAGTTTGATAATTGGTTGCATGAATAAGATATTGTGATTATCTTAATACTAGATGTTGAGTTCTAGATTGATAAACATTTGAATATGTATGTTGGATGGATAACCTTATCTTCACCATAGTTTCTTCAATATTTAACCTAATTTTGTCCCTTGAACAACTTATTAAAGAAAAAAAGAATACAACTTTGTACTTCCAATAGATCTTGTAGATCGATGATGGGATTCGTTGAAAATAATGATGTGTAATGAGATTTTGGGACTTCATGTTTAGAGTTATCTGTTCCAACTTTGTTCTTGAAATTGCATAACCTATTTTAATGTTTCTTCCTAAATCTCGACTTTTACCCAACCAAGACCTTAATAGGTGGTAGATGCCTGGTGCCAACAAGTAACATGAATCATAACTCATTTTGGGTCGTTATCAACCTAATTATTAGATTTTCTATTTATTATCAACTATGGCTTAGTTTTCGAAATCCCATCGAACTAGTACAGAGCATAATACGTTAATGTGGTAAACAGTAATCTTACTGCATGATCAAGTTGACATTGATCATCATTTCACTAGTATGATCAGAAGTGACAACATAATCATTTTCCACAAAGAATAGCCTTGGTTTTTCACTTTGGTCTGATTAGAAGAGCAACATGAGTAAGGAAAGGGGTAATTAGCAAAAAAATCCCTATCGTTTGTACTCATCGTGAAAATGATCCCTATCATTTTGAACCTGCTATTTATACCCTCATTTCAAAACTCTCTCGCAGAATTGGTTATTTCTGTCATATACCGTTAAATTATTCCGTTAAATATGCGTAATTTGATGTAAAAGGTCCCTATTATTTGCTGTAATTGGCAAATAGTCCCTATCATTTCAATATTCAATTTTGATATTCAGATAGATATTTCTTTGCTTAAAAAGGTCCTTACGTTTTTCCATTATAACATTATGAGATGATAATTTATCATCATCTTTAAATAACCAAATAGAAAATAGAAATAATATAAACAAATTGTAGCTAAAGTTTCTAATTTTTTTTTTAAAAGTACAAACGAGTCTCAGGAAAATAATTTGAAACATTCTAATTAACAAAAACATTTCATCTTCCCAATTAATCCACATATCTTACGCCCATCCCCTACACTCTACCACTACCACAAAATTAATTAAAGAGATAATTAACAATATAATAAAAGTAAAAAAAAATTATAAAAAAAGAAAAAAATTATAAAAACAAAATGGTGTTTATTCCTCATCAAATATTTTTTTATCAGAATGTTTTAAATTTTTTTATGTGAGATTTGTTTGTAATTTTTTTTTAAAAAAAAAAATTAGAAACTCTAGATATAATTGTTTTTATATTATTTCTTTTTTCTATTTATTTATTTAAAGATGATAATTTAATCATTTCATAATGTTATAATGGAAAAAATTGAAATGTCGATCTGAATATTCAAATGTCAAAATTGAAATGATAGGAACTATTTGCTCAATTACAACAAACAATAGGGACATTTTACATCAAATTACACATATTTAACGAAATATGATGGAAATGACCAATTCTGCAAGAAATGTTTGAAATGCGGGTGTAAATAACAGGTTCAAAACGACATGGACCATTTTAGCAATGAGAACAAACAATAGGGACTTTTTTTTTTGCTAATTATCCGTAAGGAAAGCAGCAATAATTACAAAACAATAAAAAAAATTATTGTTTAGTACAAGAATCATTGATGCTTATCTTCCTTAAACCATAAATTAAATGAAGCATTTAAAATTTTGGTTAGAATGTACCTACTAGTTAGGATGCTTCAAATTGGTTATCATTACAACTTAACTCATCCAGAATAAATACATCTTCTTTTCTCGACAATACTTATAAATAATTTTATGATGAAAATTGACGGCGTAAGAGTTAATATTTTTTAAATTAAAAAAAAAAGTAAAATATTCAAATATATTTAGGAAAAAAATAATAATTTATTATTGCCAACTTGCCTTCAAATAACACACCCAAATTAAATTAGTGAAATGTAGATATTTCTTATTCTATTCAGTATTCAATTATATTTAGGAAAATAGATCGTGAAGGTGGCCTACTATGACAATAAAGTTGCTTTCTTTCTTTAATTAAGTGTAATCAATTCAATGTAGGCAGTGAGTAGATCTTCAATATATATTTCAATATATAATTAATTTTATAAAATAATTTTGTATTCAGATAGTAACTATTTGCAATTTTTTATTAGTTTTTTTTTTTTTTTTTTTTTTTTTTTTAATAAAAAAAAATTATTTATTAGTTTTTTTTTTTTTAATAATGAAGACAAATTAGAATTGATGTTAGGCCCTGTTTGATAAAGCGTTTCAAGATTTATAAGTCGACGACATAAAAAAATGTTCACTTAAGACGCGAGATTAAAAATGAGGTTTGATCAATTTATAATCTCAAAAAAACTTTGTCAAACATGTTCTTGATTAGAAGAATAACAGCAAATATAAATATAGAAAATAAAATAGCATAAACAAATAAATTAAACTCCTTTCCATTCATGTAACCGGATCCGGATAGTCTATCTGGCCGAAACACAAATCTTCCAGACAAAAATCTCAGAGACTGCAACCGATCATTTGCTTATGCTATTTGTTTAACCCTATTAAAAGCTCCCAAAAATGCCAGCTCTGACAACTATTATCATTCATAAATGTAAAAAACAGTAGATATGCAGCAACCTTGGTACCCCAAAAAAAGAAAAAAGAAGAAATAACCAGGATGGTGACATCAAGATTATAGCGATTGTGGTGTCGGTGTCATTCAAGAAAGCCAGTTTTGGTTAAAATGGAATTCCTTAGTTTGCTGAGATCTCTTCCTTTGAGGGTCCTTCCAACACCTTCCAACATAGAAAATGAAGCAATCTGAGTTCCGGCAAGCTTCTTGGCTAAATATTCATGCGGCGGAACCATTTCTTCACCGTCTTCAGTCTCAACATCATCATAGAATCTTTTCTTGGTACCATCATCAGAATCACATTCATCATCCCATAAATCCTCGTTTGATGAGTTCCTCTTTAAAATCTTGGACCAGTCGGGAATGTCCACCGGAGCCGATGACTGCCAGCCGGTGCCACTGGTAAACTCTTGTGCCTTTGGGATCACTCTTGGTGCAGAAGACAAACCCCATGCAGACGTAGACGACGAAGTGCCGGATGAATATTCTTTGGCTTTTTTCCCCTTTGATGAGAACTCCTTGAGGGAAGCCCACACCTCTGGTTCTTGAAAATCTTCTTCTTCCAATGCTTTGCCTCTGCTTCGCAAATCTGCCATGGCTTGCAAATGCGAAAACCCGGAAATGCCACAAAACTGCTCTCACAGTACTCTATATGGATAAGATCGAAAGTGAAACGAGGATGTCTGTTTGCGCGGCTAAAATGTTAAACTTTTGTATCGAATTAATAAGAGAAAAAGAAAGTGTGTATAAGAGAATAATATCAGGAATCTACTTGTCCTTGTTTCAAACCCTCCAAAAAGAAGCAAACTTTTCACAGTTTGCTCGAAATAGCTCTCTGAATACTAAACCAAACCAACAAAAAAGGTAGCAGAATTTATGTGAAATAGCAGAAACTACCTTTCCGTGGCTTGCAAACTTCCAAAGAAAGTCACAGCTATCAAGGGCATAAAAACGAGAGAAAAAGACAAAATGCCAGAGAGATATGCAATTATGCATCTATAGAGGAAACTGAAACAAAAAGTTAAAACCAAAATAATGGCCTTCACATGAAAATCTCAGTTTATATACTTACTCTTATCTAGAAAATATCGTTAGAACTGAGAAACTGAAAGGTGAGTTTTTGAGAGTGAGAAAATGTCCGAAACACCCTCAGAAATTTGTGCATTGGGATGGAGAAAAAAGGAAGTTTGAAGGGTACACTTTACTTGGGAGTAGGCCCAAAAAGAAGTGTCAAGATTTCAATATTTCCCACTACAATAAAAAGTTAGGTTCTTGAAGTAGGGTTTTGCATTAAAGAAATGGTGTGTAAATATAGGAATTAAAATTCATGAGAAGTGATGAAAAGTCCGTATTTTGATAGGGAAAAGTGGCAGAAAAGGATTGGTCAGCGATTTCCGTAGGCTTATCCGAGTTATGAAGACACATTATAGCAGAGAAAAGAGACGTGCAGACTTTATTAAGATGCCTAGGAGAGGGTGCTAATGGAGTAAAGGTACTTGGTTGGTTGATTGCACATTGAGATTTGTGGTATGTATTGTTTTGATTTAGATTTAACTGTGACTCAACTTTTCATTCTTCAATGCCCCCCTCCATCCTGGCTCATGGGATTATTGCCCAGATAACTGTGCAACCAGCAGTACTATAGTATAACGCTATTACCTCATTATAAATTCAAATAATCAGGGTCAAACGAAGTTTAATATTATAATATTTATATAAAGTATGTTTATAAATTTAGTTGACAAAATAAATGTTAACAAAATCAAGATCATTGATTTTCAATGATTTAAAAATTTGTTTTTGAAATGATTGATGTAGATATTACTTTATCAATCAACTTTGTATAAATGGCATAACTCAAATCTTTAAGAACCAGAATTCAATTCAATCTTATTTCCAGATTAATTATTACTACCAAAACAAATGCATTTTCATCATTAATTTAAGAAATAGTGGGCATCCCACTCATTCTCCAATAAATAATATTATTTAGCACAAATTGTTGTATTAAATATTATTTATAAAGGTGACAATCAGCCTCCTCACTTATTCTCGGTAGAGAATGTACCACAATTTTATTGGACAATTAATTAAAGGGTTATGCTATATGTACATTATGATATCCATAATGTACAAGTGACATAACATCATTAAAGAGTTGAAAAACATTTTTTTTTTTCAACCTTCAATCATGAAATTCCACATGGAATCATCCTAAAATAAAAGGGTCCACTTCCACCTAAAATGGTGATAAAAAGCATTATCTTTTCTTACTCACAGCCTCCTCACCTTTAATTTGAGAGTTGTATTTACTTTTCGTTGTAACACGTTTTTGTCATAATGGTGGATATCATTATATTGTTCCTATTTGGTACAACATAAAATTCAAATTTTAATCTAAGTCAAAGTTTATAATTAATTTTAATCACGTATTTTATAGGATCTACAACTTTTCTACCACATATTTCATCATTTTTTTTTATCAAAAAACTTATAAAACTATGACTTTAATGCTTACCAAACGGGGGTTATCGTACACGCAAGTATGTCTTTAACAGAAACTATGCAATGGTAAAATATAAAATACAATGCGGCAAATTGCATAGTCCAGAGATTGACGACTTGACATTTTATTTTCTCTTCGAGCCTAGCCAAGAGAGGATTCAATATATGGATGTGGGTCCATAATTTCGGCCTTGAGGTCTCACTAGACATATATACATGGCCCATAACTTTTGTCTTGGTGATCACTCAGCTATGTGGGGTATATTTGGGGGTGGTGATTCATTTAAAGGGGGTTCTTAACTCAAATCAGAAGTGGCTTTGATGGATAGGGATGTCAGAGTGAAGGTTCATGTCAACCTTTCGTTTTCCTGCATGNTAATAAATAATCAAGAAATGGTTGAACCACAAGAAAATTTACAACCAGCCATAAGGTGCTGTGCTTTATTGATTTGAAATTGAACCATATGCAGCTACTAAATTCAATCTGCATTAAAATGATACCAGATAAGAAACTAATGTACAAACCGTTTCTCGATTTCGTCTTAACACTTTCGAGCAGCACGGTAAAGCTCCAAGTAATCAAGTGCAGGTCGGTTCCATGACCAGTCTTGCTCCATAACACGTTTACACAATGAATTGAACCATTCCCGTCCTTCGTACCAAGCAGTGATTGCTCTAAAAGTATAAGCAGAAGTGAGTCACACTCAGTAATATGCAAAATGATAAAAAGAAAAAAAGAAGCCTATTTATGCCTGTGATTTGAGAATTTTTCTTTTTACAGCATTTTGTATTGACAAGTGACAGTTTTCCTGTCTCTTGTATTTTTCCTCAAAATGAACCACAGTAAAAGAAAATTTTACATGAAATACTCTTCGGAGAAGGACAAAAGAAGAAATCAGAAGTGAAAGCCAGGTGTGCATCTTTATAGCAAGTATTTAAGAGTAGACAGAAAGTCGACTCACCTATTGAGAGCATAATCAACTCCAGCAGCATCTGCTCCGTCAAAATTGAACCCATTTGGTTCAAGACCACAAGCTTGTGCTCGTTCTTTATCATGGTCAACATCAAAAACTGTATCATAAAGTCCTGCAAGACAAATTTTCTATACCATTATTTACTCTTTCTTTTGTAATTATGTTCACACCCAATTGATAGTTGAGGGAAAAACTCTGAAGCAGACACGAAAAGAGAGCAGGATTATTACTACAGTTTTGCTAATATCTACACGTGGCACATGATACTATCCGATTTATAAACAGTTTTCGCAGTAATACCAATATCCATTACTAACATTATTTGTATGTTTGGTAAGATGGATTAAACAATACTCAAAAGAGTATTATGAAAGGAAAAGAAGTTAAAATCTTGTTTATTGCGACTGTCCAATACGGTCTAATATTGTATACCAGATCTGAACTTAGGATTACATTGCACTAGAAACTATAACAAAACTACCCACCTCCAGTTTTACGAACGACAGCAATTGAACCGTATCTCATTGCTATGAGTTGAGTTAGTCCACATGGTTCAAATATAGAAGGGACCAAAATGAAATCGGCACCAGCATATATCTGCATAAAATTTAAAAGATCAAAAAGTGAAGGTGTGCTACTGCAAATGTAATATAAGTAAATATGTGTCTAAAAAAAATGAGCAAGTTCAGGGACTCTACCAAGTGAGAAAGGGGCTCGTCATAAGTCAGACACAGGCGTGCACGATCATTATGTGATGAATGCAATTGATTTGCCAAATTAACAAAATCATTCTGGATCCGAGGGTCAGGAGCTGAACCTAACAAGACAACCTAATAAAGAACCCAGGATCAGAATAACCAATATAATGTTAATTTATCATTTTCTTCTTAAAACAAAAGAACTTGAGCTGTGTAATGGTCACTGAATTTGGCATTTTGTTTCAGTTTGGTACTCAGTTTAAAATCCTTTAGTTTTTCTTTAAGAAGCACCAACATGAACACAAGTGTCTGACACGTGATTTTTAAAAAAGTTTCGACAAGATAAGTAGTCGATACGTTGATTAAAATAATACTTTTTTAATTTAATAGTTTAAAATAATAATTTTTTATACTTAATGCATCATATTTTTTACTTCCTTTGTAAGTTATTTTTTATTGAGGGTGAAATGGTAAATTAAATGACAAAAAATTTAATCCACATAAAAGTTTACCTTTTTTTTTGTTGAAGGGTTAAAAAAAAAAAAATTAATAATAATAATAATAAT